TGCTGGCGGCGCCTTGCACGGGAAAACAGGAATCGGTTGCTGGTTGCTGGATGCAACACAACGGAAGAGGTTCAGTTTCCTGCGACTGCCAGCTGGGCTCAGCCCTAGGAAGGAGGCAGTGGCAAACCACTTCCAGAAAAAACCTTGTCAGGAAAACTGCAGGGACTCATCCAGGCAGTCTCCGTAGAATCGGTCATGATTGAAAGCAATTTTTTTAAAAAAAGATGTTAGTAGGAAGGTGGGTAGAAATTGGCTGTCATTATCTATTGTAATGAAATACCCGTACAGGTTCTAATATGAACTAAAACAATTTCACTGTACTTCGTTAGGCATGAATTGCAAGGCTATTTTGCCTGTGTTACATGCTAACCTTGGATAATAATTAACCTTTTCAGCAGAATCAAGTGGGATATCCACCACCTTATGGGCAGTGGGGCCAGTGGTATGGAAATGCCCAACAGATTGGCCAGTACATGCCTAATGGTTGGCAAGTCCCTGCATATGGAATGTATGGACAGGCATGGAACCAGGGATTTAAGTAAGTATTGGTTTTATACAGGCTCTCTGCCAGTAATGAAAATGAAAATACATACAGTTACAGCACTAAGGTTTCATTTTTGACATGTTCAGAGATTATTGTTGCTTGCTTGTTTGAAAGACAGCATTTGTGTCTTCACTGGTTACATTATTTTTAAATATTGGTAGGTTGCATACATAAAAGGGATAAAATACTAATTAAACCAACATTAAAATAAGCATACAACAAAATTAGACTGCCCTTCCAAAATAGTAAAATGAATCTCAGTTCTTCCTGGAATCCAGATAGTAAGTTTTATTCACCAAAAAGTTTGATTAAATAAACAGCTCTTAGAAACTAACAGCGATGAAACATTTTGATGAACTGTAGAACCTTGTAGATTCAAAGACGTGTCAACCAGCAAACACACATACAGTGCATAGTTATTACTACTTTAGTCTGAAAGTGTGAAAGGACTTCTTAAGGCATTCATGTTGCTAGAACATTGTGGTGCAGGGTACTGGAGTTGGGGAAAACGTACAAGAAATACTCAACATGATTGCTCACTGTCGTCTTAATATAATGCAAGCTTTATCTAACCTCATTTCCTCTTCCATTCAGTCAGACACAGTCATCAGCATGGATGGGTGCAAATTATGGTGTACCACCCCCTCCACCGCCCCCCCCACCACCACCCCAGGGGCAAAATGGAAGTGTTCTAACTAGTCAAACTGGATATCGGATGGCAGGTTTTGAAACACAGTGAGAGACAGAGAAGGACTCTGGAATAGAACAACTGTGGCTTTGAGGCTGTATGGAGCATTGTAAAATCCTTTGTTTACTTAAAAAAATCTATCCAATCAAGTCAGTGCAAAAGTCAAACAGTATTTATTTTTAATCATGAAACTTTGTTGTTGTCCACACTTTTTTTTAAAAGACACACAGGAAATACTAGATGCTGGATATCTGCCAACTTTTGCCTTCTTTTCCTCTTTTGAGATGTGTTTCTTAAGATCCATGTTTGAAACACAACTAATGCAGGGATTTCTGCCACTTTTAGTATAGCGGCAGGAAATTGCACAATATCAAACCTTTTTTTTTTTCCACTGAAGTAGTATGCAGTCTAGTTTGCATTCCTAGTATGACTTAAATGTACATGAAAGAAGTGATACAAGAGAAAAAAGACACGCCAAAACTGTGTGAATTCTGGGAGTTTATTGAAATCTTCCGCTTGTGCACAATTCTGTTTTAAAGAGAGCCTGTTGTATAAAGTGTCCATCTCCTCGCTTTTGTTATACTGGGATTTCAAATATAACTTATTCGTTTACATTATTTTGTATCTAAACATTTTTCGGAAAGTGGTTTTTGCCTTACTGTCACTGTTAAATTATTAAGCAGGAGTGGCGGTGGGGAAGCCAGAATGCGTGCAGGCACCTAGTGCTCAGAGAACCCAGCTCTGTCGCTAGAGGTAAGGATGTGCCTGGGGACGTCCCTGTTCATTGACTCAGAGACCTCTGTCTTCACTGATGAACTTCAGCCCAGTTCAGATCTTACTAAAATGTGACACGTTCTTAGGAGCCAGCTTTTTTAAATCTGTCCGTTTTTACATTTACATGTATCCTTTATCATGTAAACTATTTTAGCAAATTAATATTTTCACAAAAGTCGCTCAGCTTTTGTATGTCTCCTTTGAAAGAGTAAGAGACAGAAAGACCTATATGACTTATGACTACAATTTAAGCTTTGACTTTTGCATGTGAATATCTAATACACTGTTAGACTTTGAATAAACAGTCATGCTCTCATTTTTCAGAGATGTAGAGAATACATTGGTCTTAACTGTTAGCAACTTTTTACTCACGTGGAGTAAGTCTGACTTGATTTAGCATGTACAGATAGAGCTATTAAACTGTATAGCATTGTGTGTATCAGGCCAGGAGTAAAAGGAATGCTCCAACTGAAGCCTGAAGGACCAGCTGGATA